AGACACCGATCCAGAATTCCCGGAAAATCCGGTTCATCAAGTCCATAAAGACTGCCGGTGCATTGGTGAGTCCGAATGGCATCACCAAAAACTCATAATGGCCATACCGCGTACGGAATGCCGTCTTCGAAATATCCTCTTCCCTGACCCTCAACTGGTGGTAACCCGATCTCAAGTCTATCTTAGAGAAACAACGGGAACCCTTCAACTGGTCAAACAGGTCATCTATACGGGGCATAGGGTACTTATTCTTGACCGTAGCCCGATTCAACTTCCGGTAATCTATACAAAGTCTCAAAGCACCTCCTTTCTTTTTAACAAAGAGGGCCGGTGCTCCCACGGCGAAACACTAGGACGTATAAAACCCTTGTCTAATAACTCCTGGAGCTGAATCTTCAACTCAACTAACTCGGCTGGGGCAAAACGATAAGGTGCCATAGAAATCGGTGCTGTGCCTGGCACTAGGTCAATAGAAAACTCAATCTCCTGATGCGGTGGCAAACCAACAAGATCCTCAGGAAAGACGTCCGAGTACTCACAAACCACCCTTGGCAACACAATCGGTGTCTCCTCATCCTCACTAATCGAAAGGTTAGCAAGTAAACTACTAAGCTCACTCCGTCCTCGTGGAACATACCCCGGTGGCAACACATCACCAACCCGGTCCCCCAGAAAATGAAAATACTCTCCGCTCACAGTACAACAAGTGACCCTCTGGCGGTAACAATCAATAACTGCCCGGTATGACGATAACCAGTCCATACCCAAAATAACATCGAAACCTCTGATAGGCATAACGACAAAGGAAAATGGAATTCTATGATAATCAACCTCTATATCACAACCCTAACACCTTGTTTCAAAATCAATTCACCCCCAAGAGGTGACGCTACACATATAGGAGATGCTAACTGTGCTAACTCCAATTCCAAAACAGATGCAAATGCAGCAGACACAAAGGAATGAGATGCACCCGTATCAATCAAAACATTAGCAACCGAGTTGCAAAACAAGAAGGTACCTCTCACAACTGATGGAGCCGGTACAAGATCCTGCGCGGTAACAGCGTACACGCGCCCAGACACATGTTTACTTTCTTCTTTCTTTTGTTATGTCTTTACTATTCCTTTTCATGTAGATTGGTTCTGCCGTTGGTTGTACAACAAGTGCATTCTATGGATTCAACCATGGTATGTCATTTTATCCTTATTTTCTACTCGTGTTCCTCAACTCTTCAGTCTGTTCTATGACCTTGAAATAGTTACGTCATTCCTTCAGGTTTTAGTTCATAGTAATATGTTATTAGTTGTGCATGAGTTACAGCATATTTCATTGGGTTCCTTATATTGGTACTCTATATGTTATTTGATGTAGGTATTGTTGTCATTGTATGACTTATGGTCCCAGTTATTTTGTTGTAAACCAATGGTTTCAAAATGGTTTAACTTAGTAAAAGCATGAAATTTAAGATCTTAAAAGATTAGTATGTCAATGCACGTTAACTTTTGTGTGTGTGCGTGCAAGCGTGCGTGCGTGTGATGTTATTACCACAAAAAGAGATATTACAATTGCTTTCATTACACCTCCCCAATGGGTACACATCTTCGGGGAGATACCCACATGCCTAGCCTAAAACATGCAAGTACCCTTATAGTCAAATAGAATAGGCAAAGCACACAAATACACATCGGAGCCATAAGCACCCACTGGTGATATAGTTAATGCTTGTTGGCAGTTGAATTAGCTATACAAATTGTGGAACTAACACCTAGTTTGCTATCAAAGAAGACAATGTACTTTTTTGTTAGATTTGACTTCTTCATTCTTGTATTCATTACTTTTCTTAAGGTTCAAACCTTGAACTTCGTCTCGATTTTTCCAGGAACAAAGATGCATTTGCTAAAGTATTATAGTTGCATTTATATATATATTTTTTGTATCATATCTTATGCTTCTAGGTTTAAATTAGAATGAAGTAGGCACTAAAACAATTTTTTTATTACAACACTTAGTACAAGAAAAAGTGTAGAGTTCAATGTTGTAAACTGATGGTATTTTAATGTGGCATGACACAATAATAGAAAGTTTTGCATTAACCATAATCTACTTGTGGCTTTGATACTTCAGTAAACAAATGGTATTCTAATGATATAATTCCTGTTCCATTGTTCCTGCTAATCTTCTTTTTCTTCTCTTTTTTTCCTCTTTGCATAATATAGCACTCTGAAATTACTTTCCTGAGCAATACCATATGTTGATTTTCTCAATCACTGAAATTGTTATTGTTAGTGATAAACTTTTGACAAAGAGTACATACACTTTTTTTACAATTGTCTTCTTTCCCTCCATGTATTTTGTTATTTATTTTATCGAATTACCTCTACAGTGATGCCAATCGTTCAGAGGTGGGTTAAAGGACCTATCTGGTTGCATTTCCTCATCGGTGTAAGTGTCAACTTCCGTTTCGATTCCCCATTTGCTTGAGCTTTGATTTTTACTTGCAATTTTAGTTCCTTGTATAGCTTAAACATGTCATTCAATTTGTATAGAAGAATTTATTGTGTGGTTAGAATTTGTAAAGATGCCGCATCCACAATCTTGCTCTAGGTAGCACGGAAGCTCTTAGCATTCCATATTACTGTCCAATTCAGTTTGGATGCTGGCACCTAAAGGGCAAGCATCGACATGTGTTTGACACACTTACGGTTGTCCATATCGTGTCGTATTCATAACCCATGTTATTTATGCTTGTTAGATATTGTTGTAACATAGACCTAAAAACATGTGTCACACGATTCGGTTTGATACACTAAACAACCGATTTGTATCTAAGGGTGAATCGACAATAAGCATAAATTGCATCGTAATTGTATGATTCATGATACGTATTACACGATTTAGTTTGATACACCAATACCAATCAATTGGTTCAACTTTATCCACGTGTTTCTACTTGCACAAGAAATATTTGGGAGGCATCAAGCAAGAGGTTATAAAAAGTGGTGATTTGAGTAGTTTGGACCATTTTAGATGAGTATTTGGATTACTTGAGTTGTAAAATTTTATTATTGGCGTTTGCCTCTTCGATGAATTGAAGACTTCTTTTTTTTTTTTTTTTTTCTCTTTTTTTTGAAAGGTCTCTTTTTAACACGAGTTTCAATTCTAGCATTTGTGTTTTGCACCAAAACTGAAGTCTATATATACCCTATATAAAAAAGAAACCAACTATATTCTATTAAATTTATCTCACTATTGTGATTTGAAATTTTGAATTTTTTATCTTTCTTTTTTGACGGACTATGGATTCTTGTCTCCATTGATTCATAACAGCACATGCATTTATGGATTGTCATTAATTGTAATGCATAATAAAAAAATGAAATATAGGATCATAGATTATATTGATCCTTGAACCTACATCACTTAGAGGCAAGCATGTTATTGCCTATTGCACCATGTGATCATCATTCAAAACAAACTTTTCATTGATTTATGTCTAAAATTTTCATATTTATAATATATCTTTAATATCTAATTGTTTAAATATTTTTTAATGTATTTTAGAAATTATAACCAAATAATTATGATTCATGATTCGGAAAAATGTAATTTTGATTCATGATTCAATTCTTGATTTGACAACTGTGTTGGGATATTGTCTCTTCACCAACATGTCAGTACTTGTGGTGTTGAGCTTATTAAATGTTCTTTTATAATTGATTTTATTTCTTCATTTTTGTTTTGCGTGAGGGTCTTCCTTTTTTTTCAAAAATATTTTAGATTATATCTTTCTCCTCAAGAGTTTTAAGATTTCTCATGATCTCTATCCTCTTCCACGAAGTCCAACATTGTCTACCCCAATTGCAAGCTTGCTTGTTTCGGGTGATGCTTCCCCCACCTCCTCTTTCACTACCCCAAAATTTCTGACACTGGCTCAATAGTATGTTTCATTTATCTACTTGCCCAATTACCACATATTCTACTCTATGATCTAGGTAAGCCTATCTTGGCAATGCTATCATAACATATCTTCAAATATTTAAATATCTTGTCCAGTATGCACCTTTGGGTGAAGTGAAGTAATATAAGAAATGATGCAAGGTAGATTAACTGTGTTGCACACTTTTAGAAACATAGGAAGTTGAGCTCATTAAAATTCAGTTAGGTTAAAAATCTTATGTTATTCGCATTGTGGCAATGCTTGATGAAGTTATACATGGAACTAATAGTTTTGTTATTTTATTTTTTATTATTTATTTATTTTTTCCGTCTTCATAAAAACATCTAGAGTCTTAATGGTTATATCCATAACCCTCTCTCTCATAAGTGTGGGTTTTTGTAATGTGTGAGAGATGGCATTGGGTACAGACACGGGATCTGTGGATTCATATTTTGTACCTTTTTTTGTTGGTGACTTTGTTGCCGTTTCTTTCACTGGGTGCAGGCTCCACCTGTGATAGTCTTCTCTTCAGCTTGTGCAGGGTTGACAGGTTAGAGTTTTCTCCATAAAAAATTATTTTCAGCTGTATATCTATCCGGTTTTATGAATTGTTTTCTTACCTTCATTAATGTTGTTGGAGAAACTAAAACTATATAGAAATGAATTCCTCATAGATGAAATATACATTCATAATCTAGCACAGGTTCTATATGAATCTTTTATCAGTTTGTGGTACATTTTATGTATTATGTAGAGTATCTTGTCCTGTATATTTTAGAATTGCCACATTATAAACTAATAACCCAGGATAAACACATCTTAAGAGTAAAATAGATGAATGTATATTTATGTATTGTCCCATAAATGCGTTGTGAACATGCCAAAATTGGGTTTTTATAGAGAAGTGGTTATAGCTTTTGTTTCCCCCTAGCACTATTGGAGTGTGGTACATGGAGATATTATGGTAGTTTCTGGCATTTTCATGAATTAGGAGTGTTTGAGAAGATTTTGAAGGCCTCTTTCATTGTTGTAGTGCTCATGAACGTGGGTGCGTGGGACATTTAGGATTATAGACCTATCAACCTTGTGGGTAGTCTATATAAACTTGTGGCCATAGTTTTGTTTTGGTTATTTGGATGAGGAAGGTCATTGGGAAGTTTAGTCTCAAAAATGCTTTTTTCTTTTGAGAACTCATGTTGGTGTCTCATTTGGTATTTGAGAACAACAACATATTTTTTTTTTGGTGGGGACAAAGGGGAGAAGTTGAGATATGATGTGTCCTTATATTTTGCGGAGGTGTTTGGGTATGCATTAACTTGGCCTAGGGTGAGCTTATCATTGTCTGATTCTCATTTTGGGGGTATAAGATAGGTTCTCATTTTGGTCACGATAGGCCGTGTCTGGGAGGGAAGAGCATACCTAAATCATGTAGTTTGCTCTGGGGCATTATTGGAAAACTAGGTGGAATTTATTTTTGCAGATACTGTGAAGTCATGTCTATGTTGAGAACTACAATTTTCTGATCCCCAATGTTGGTCCATCATGGATATTGAGAATTAGTGAGTTATGGCTCTCTGCTGCAGATAGGGATGCTTTTTGGACATGCGATTTTGTGTGTGTATATATAGAATATGATTGTTTCATTATGTAAAGCTTCTGTTTTTATTTTTTTTGATAAATAAATTTCATTTTGTAAAGTTGATTTAAACCTAATGTGTTTGTGTATGGGATGGGCATTTTGCAGGTGGTGCTGTTCCAGCACTTGCCCAACTTGCATCTTCATCTTATCATTCAGCATTCTCGCCTCCGTCATTGCCATCTCCAACCTCACAGGATGATCAGATTCACAAATCCAGAAATTCCTCTCCTCTATAATTCTCTCTACAGTTGCATAAGTAGCAGAGCACTCTGGTGATGTCCATTGTGGACCACGGGCCTGAGCCATTCTCTATGCTTTGTGGATAGCCTCACAAGAAGCTTGTGCAATAAAATGCATGGCTGTTCTCCTTAGGCCCTCTAATATGTTCCAGCTACCGGCATGGTTCTTATGTATTATGTATGTAGCAGAGCTAGGGATGGTTCTCTATATGTTTATATATAGATATATCTTTTATTGAGCATTATTCTTTATGAACTAGTAAGAAGTTTTGATGGCTCTACTGTTTTACTTTAGATTTATTTATGTTGTATATTTTGAAAATGCTCACTTGCCTAGTCTTCCTTTGTCTACATGTACATGATACACTTGTTTGAAACACAATCTCATGTTCTAATTTTATTTATATATATATATATATATATATGTTATATAAAAAAATAATAAATATCAGTTTCTTGTTTGCATAGGCGATTTACTCAAGGTTTTACCATATAAATGGTTCCAATTATCGAAATTGAATCTTGTAATGAACCACCAACACACAACACAGTCCAGTTCATAAAACTAGAGGAAAATCAGTAACTGGAATTTAGAAAGTGGTATCAACATCAAGTGAAGTGCTAACCTAGGACATTTAGGTCAAGTGCTAACCTGAAGGAATCGTGTTGTCTATTGAACAAATTTACCAGTTGGGTCTCAAGGAGGGCAATCATAGATTATAGGTAAGATTGTAAAAGCTGAGTCGAATTGAGTAATATGTTATTCAAATTTGATTTGAACATTTATTGAGTTTGTTTAAATTTAGTTTGTTTATATAATGAGTCAATTTTAATTGAACTTTTAATGAGCCAAATATAGGTCGAGTTAGAGTAGTTTGATTTTATTTATTTATTTTTTATAGTGTATATAAAAAGTCGTAAGTTGTTTAAATTTAGGGGTATTTTTTTTAAGGTCCCTGATATTATGATTTTATAGTATAAAGGACATCAACTATTTTCATGATGTCTAAGGTCCCTCAACATCAATCCAGAGAAATTTCAGTCCAGAGAAAATTCAGTGCAGAGAAAATTCAACCAGAGAAAATTCAGTCCAGAGAAAATTCAACCAGAGAAATTTCATCCAGAGAAATTCTCTGGTCCAAACCAGAGAAAATTCAATTCGAATAAATTCAATTCTGTCTAAAATTTACCTGCAAACCCATCAAGATGATTTGGTTTGCCAAGTTGGGTATTAGGACAGATGATTTCTCCCACCTATCATTCTTAGATTGGATCAACCATATTCTCACTCCATCCTTGATATTTCGAGTTTCTCCTTCAAGCAAGTCAGATTTTGTGCTTTTTGCAGTAATTCTCATGGAAAAAACTTGGCTTTGGAGAAACAGAGCCATCTTTTGCTGTCCAAAGGTTGAACCAGAGAAATTTCAAAATTTCCCTAGACACATGAGAAGTTTCAAAATTTCTCTGGACTCTCCAAACCCAAAGAAATTTTCAGACAAACATTTCCAGAGATTCTCCCATCCAGAGAATTTCTCTGGACTCCACAACCTAGAGAAAATTCCCAGCCAGAGAAATTTCTTAATTGAAAAACGGATCTGTGCTTCAAGAGATGACTGCAATTTCTTCTTCATCCACCTTCAGATTTACTCACAGGGCGTGCTAGCACAACAAGTGGTCCTGATCCTTTCATAGGCAAGCTTGGCCTAGCTAAACTGCTCAAACTTGAAGACTGATTCGATGAGGACGTGTCAATTGACTTCTCAATATTAGAACCAGAATTAACATCTGAGAAATCATCAAGAAAAATAAAAAGTATGACTGGAGTACACTGTCCTGGAAAACAAAGAGGTATATGAACCTAAACCCCACATAAATGATATTGCTGAAGCATTGCGACTCAAGATACCATTATTTCTATCTGGAGAATGATTGTTAGACATTGTTCCCAATATAGAAGTTCGTGATGATGAAGATGAATGATGAGATCTAGATGTGGATGAAGGTGTCTTTTGTGATCTTGCGAATGGAGCCAATATAGAAGTTCGTAATTTCTTCAAGATCTGGGTATCAAAGCGTAGCTGCCCAGCGACCTGTTAAAGAGAGAGAGAGAGTAGAGCAGAGTCAAAAGAGTCAAATTTCTCTGATATATGTTTAGGGACCTTAGACATCAAAAAATAATTTTGTGGATCTCTTCCATTATGAAAAGTGGGAGAGGGACCTTAGACCAATTTTCCCTTAAATTTAATGAGTTAAAAATTTTGTTTAAGCTTGGTTATTAGATAGGGCTGTAAATGAGTCGAATTGAGTTTCTGTGTTCAAACTTGTTTGTTTAAAAATTAATTGAGTTTGAGCTCGGCTTGTTAAATAATTTGAAAAACTAAAGTTTGGCTCAAGTCAATTAATTACATAAAATGAGCTGAGTTAAAGCTTTAAAAAAAAAAAGAACATAAATTAATCTTATAGAAAAAAGAAAATGTTATTAGCAAAATATAAAATGATATTTGTATTAATAATAAATTTTGTTAATCAACTATGCAAATTAACACAAAAATTAAACACAAATAGAAAAATAAAATAAATTAATTTGGATGACATTTTTATAATTAGAAATAAGTGGGGGGGTATTATTAGGTAATTAGGCGCTTGAGGTCTAGGGCTTTCTATAAAAGGGCGAGCTCTCGCAGCGTTGACGCACACTACTTGATCTTATCTGAGCAGTGCTTGTGTTTTTGGGGGTTGGTGTGGAATCCTATTGGGAGGAGGCGGAGGCGATGGCGATGGAGGGAATGGCCGAAAAGAAGCAGAGAGAAGATAGTCACCCACCCGTTACCCATTAAATGTAGTAATGGGGTTGTTGGCGGCCTCCGCTCCTCTGCTTCGTCAGCCCCTATCTCCATTCTCTGTCAAACCCTAACAACTACTACCTACTCCCAACAATACTTCCTCCCCAATTGACTCACTGCGATGAAGACTGCCCGCCGTCGGAGCCCTTTAGACTCTCCATTGGGCGTTGATGGCAGCGCGGGCTTTACCAACCCCCAAGTAGCTTTCTCTCTCTCGCTCTCTCGCTTGCTCTCTCTCTCTCTCTCTCTCTCGCACACACTACGTTTATATTATATATATATTATTATTTATTTTGTTGTTTATTTCATCTATTTAACTCTTGTTTTTTTTTTTTTGTTTTTGTTTTTTGATCATCTCATCTGGTGTATTGTTGTACTATTGTTGGTGTGTTGGTTTAGATGTAGTTGACGACTCTCAGCATCGACTTCAGGGTTAGTAGTTATTGTTATTATTATATTTGTTTATATATAGATATATGTTTATTTATCATTTTGAATTCCATTAGATATCTTCGTCATTGTTTTGTAGTTCCAATTTAGTTATTTATTTCTTGATTAATGCTTCTCACATTTAGGCTGTGTTTGCTTGGGGAATTTTGAAAGAGATTTGGAAAGGAAAAAGGAAAATGAAGGTGAAATTTGTTTTCCGCACATTTTTCCTTTCCCTTTTCCGAATGCTTTGCCAAATTGCTCAACCAAACATAGCGTTAGGTTGCTAGTTTATTTTTCTTTTGGGGGTTTTGTTTTCGTGATTTTGGAATTGAAATTGAAACCAATGAAAATTTGGGAACCTCCATTGTTTATGTATTCCTTGGGCGAGTCTTGTTTTCATTGGGCCAGTCTTGTTTTCATTTCAAAAACACTCAAGACACATACCAGTGATACTTGGTTCACCGAGGTTTTGGGTGAGTGAACCCCCTAGCACTATTGGAGATATTATGGTAGTTTCTGGCATTTTCATGAATTAGGAGTGTTTGAGAAGATTTTGAAGGCCTCTTTCATTGTTGTAGTGCTCATGAACGTGGGTGCGTGGGACATTTAGGATTATAGACCTATCAACCTTGTGGGTAGTCTATATAAACTTGTGGCCATAGTTTTGTTTTGGCTATTTGGATGAGGAAGGTCATTGGGAAGTTTAGTCTCAAAAATGCTTTTTTCTTTTGAGAACTCATGTTGGTGTCTCATTTGGTATTTGAGAACAACAACATATTTTTTTTTTTGTGGGGACAAAGGAGAGAAGTTGAGATATGATGTGTCCTTATATTTTGCGGAGGTGTTTGGGTATGCATTAACTTGGCCTAGGGTGAGCTTATCATTGTCTGATTCTCATTTTGGGGGTATAAGATAGGTTCTCATTTTGGTCACGATAGGCTGTGTCTGGGAGGGAAGAGCATACCTAAATCATGTAGTTTGCTCTGGGGCATTATTGGAAAACTAGGTGGAATTTATTTTTGCAGATACTGTGAAGTCATGTCTGTGTTGAGAACTACAATTTTCTGATCCCCAATGTTGGTCCATCATGGATATTGAGAATTAGTGAGTTATGGCTCTCTGCTGCAGATAGGGATGCTTTTTGGACATGCGATTTTGTGTGTGTATATATAGAATATGATTGTTTCATTATGTAAAGCTTCTGTTTTTATTTTTTTTGATAAATAAATTTCATTTTGTAAAGTTGATTTAAACCTAATGTGTTTGTGTATGGGATGGGCATTTTGCAGGTGGTGCTGTTCCAGCACTTGCCCAACTTGCATCTTCATCTTATCATTCAGCATTCTCGCCTCCGTCATTGCCATCTCCAACCTCACAGGATGATCAGATTCACAAATCCAGAAATTCCTCTCCTCTATAATTCTCTCTACAGTTGCATAAGTAGCAGAGCACTCTGGTGATGTCCATTGTGGACCACGGGCCTGAGCCATTCTCTATGCTTTGTGGATAGCCTCACAAGAAGCTTGTGCAATAAAATGCATGGCTGTTCTCCTTAGGCCCTCTAATATGTTCCAGCTACCGGCATGGTTCTTATGTATTATGTATGTAGCAGAGCTAGGGATGGTTCTCTATATGTTTCTATATAGATATATCTTTTATTGAGCATTATTCTTTATGAACTAGTAAGAAGTTTTGATGGCTCTACTGTTTTACTTCAGATTTATTTATGTTGTATATTTTGAAAATGCTCACTTGCCTAGTCTTCCTTTGTCTACATGTACATGATACACTTGTTTGAAACACAATCTCATGTTCTAATTTTATTTATATATATATATATATATATTATATAAAAAAATAATAAATATCAGTTTCTTGTTTGCATAGGCGATTTACTCAAGGTTTTACCATATAAATGGTTCCAATTATCGAAATTGAATCTTGTAATGAACCACCAACACACAACACAGTCCAGTTCATAAAACTAGAGGAAAATCAGTAACTGAAATTTAGAAAGTGGTATCTGTTGGAAATGGTTATAAAATTC